TTGGAGTGTTCTATAAATTCTAGAGATAAGTCCCTTGTCAGATATGTTATTACCAAATATTTTTTCCCAATCTGTAGGTTCTCTTTTGACTCTAAGACTGCATCTTTTGACTGGATATTGGTGGTCATTCATTCTGGGCAGAGCCATCATCAGAATGAAGTTAACTGTAATGAGAAGCAAAGCTAATAGATGGACAGGGAGTCTGAACTCTATCTACATTATTTGAATTCCTAGATCCTGCTTTGCCTGAAACTATACCTATCCCTCCTGATTGTTCAATTATATAAAGCAATAAATGTCTTTTCTTCCTTAAAAAAAATTATAAATGCTAAGATTAAAACTGTTGGCTGAGGGAGGCTTTAGCAACAGATCATAAGACTTACCTCTGATCTTCTTGACAACCTGGGTGAACAGGTAAATGCAATGGAATAGGAGGCTCTAGGTGTCTGGTGACAGGACGTGTCCACGGGGCTACCTTTCTTGGTTCAAGCGCCAGCAGGAGTCTGGCCCAGGAAAGGGAAGAGAACTACCAGCTACTGATCAGTGATGTTAAACCTGGCTCTGGGCACTCTATGCGGCCATCTCATGGCATCCTCCACCAGTTTGTGAGGTCAGCCTTCTGAGACATAACTTATAAACTTTCCCATTTCATGTGTACAATTCAATTATTTTAGAAAATTTACAGAGTTGTACAAACAGCATCACAATTCAATTTTAGAATATTTCCATCACCCTAAAAAGGTCCTTTAAAGTAGCATAGTGCCTAAGGCACTTGACTGCTAACCAGAAGGCTGGTGGTTCAAACCCACCAGCCACTCTTCAAAAGGAAGTTTGGCCAATCTACATCCATAGTGACACTGCCCAGGAAACCCAAGGAGGGGTCACTATGAGTTGGGTCCAACTCGATGGCAAATAACACAAGCTTATTTGCAGTCATTTCCCATTCACATCTCTAGCCCCAAGTACCACTAATCTATCTGCTTTCTACTTTTCCTGTCTTTTCTGAACATTGCATATAAATGGAATCATACAAAACTGGTCTTTTGCATCTGACTTCTTTCACTGAACATGTTTTTGAGGTTCATCCAGGTTGTAGCAGGTATCAGTGCTTCATTCCTGTTTATAGCTGAGTAGTATTCCATTTTATGGTTAAGCCATATGCTGTTTTTTCATTCATTGGTTGATGGATATTTGGGTTGTTTCCACTTTCTGGCTATTATGAATAATCTTGCTATTGACATTTGTATACAAGTCTTTGCATAGACATATGTTTTCATTTTTCTCGGTTATATACCTAAGAGTGGAGTCACTGGGTCATATGGTAAATTTATGTTAAACTTTTTCAGAAAGTGCTAAATTGTTTTCCAGTGAAGCTGGACCATTTTACATTTCCACCAGCAGTGTATGATTGTTCCAGTTTATCCACATCCTTACATCTTCTATTTTAGGGGCTCTGGTGACATAGTGCCTAAGGCTTTTTGACTGTTAACCAGAAGCCTGGTGGTTCAAACCCACCAGCCGCTCCTCAGAAGGAAGACTGGGCAATCTACTTCCGAAGTGAAACTGCCTCGGAAAACCAAGGATAGGTCACTATGAGTCGGATCCAACTCAATGGCAGTGAATTCGGTTTGTTTAAGATGAGTAAAATGGGTCTGAGAGGAGAATGACCTGCCTAGGGTCATATAGCAGTGAGTGGCAGCACCCTAGTCAGTCTTATCACAGTGGCCTGCTCCATGGATAGACTGTGAACAAAATACAGAGCATGGACACTCTAAAGAGGCTGGCCACTTAGGTCTGTCAGGCTGGGGTCCTGGGATCTGGTGAAAGGGCTTAGTGGAGTCGTTGACTCACACCCTCACCCGAGGGTGCTGAGTGAGCTCCAACAGCAGCTGGTGATGGCAACCTCAATCCCAGAAGGTGGTAGTAGATGCTGGCCGGCCAGCATGGTGTTACCCTCTGACAACACCTAAGGCCTATCAATGAGTGCCCTCCCTGGAGAGCGTGAATTCCCGCATGCTACCATGGCCCTGCCTCATGACTCCCTTCTCCTGTTTGAGCCTGGACACTTCATTCACTTATTATTCATTATTATAAATTAACTATTATGATGCCTCTTGCACTGCACCCTCCCATCCCCAGCAACTCCTGGCTCTTCACAGGAGAAGAATAGGTTCTCCTCTCCCAGTAACCTGAGAGAGTCAAAGGAGAGGAAAAGGTCACTCAGTTCATCTGCAGGCCTTAGGAAGGGCTAATCACAGATGCATAGATAGGGCCTCATGACCCAAGCTTGGGTGCAGCCAGAAAGTGGCAGTGCAGCCCCAGCCAGTCTAGCAGCCCTCCCACCTTATCCCTTGGCTCATTGTCTTAGAATGGCACCCTGGCCCCCAAGGAAAGAATGCCTTGGGTGCCCAAATTATCCAGACCACCCATCCAAGCTTCCTTTGCAAACCATTTGGAGAACTTGGAAAAGGAAGGAGGAAAAGAAGTGTGTATTTATTGAGCACCAACTGTATGTCAAGGTTTTTTCATTTCATTGAGGATTTTTCTCGATCCTCATATGAACCCTGAAAATTTAATCCTCATTTTGCCCCTGAGACTTGGAGACTTAGAGGCTATTAGTGGCTTGGCCAACATCTCCTCACACATTCCACCACAGTAAGCTTCCTGACCCTCAGAAGTTGGGTGGTTGCCCAGGACAGTACTCCAAGTATGAACTGTGGTGTCAGGTAAGTCTGGGCTCAAGCCCTGACTCTGTCACTTCCCTGATATGTGACCTTAGGAAAAGTGGCTGGCCTTCTCTGAGCTGCAGCTGTACCATGTGTTAAACAGAGCTATCCAGATTCTTATAAGTGAGGGATTCAGCATGATGCCTGGCACTCAACAAGAACTAGCAAATACGCTGTTATTTCCTGTGACTGGGAGAATTTTCAGGCTGGAGATCAGGGTCTATTGGTCTTTCATCTTCTCTAGACCATGATAGGGTCACTCTCTTTGATTCTTTGACCTTCTGTCCATTTGGGGTCTGTCCCCAGCCATTCACAAGCATCAGAGGAAAGGTGGCGACTCCAAAGGCTCCTTGGGATCTGACAGTTTTGCTCTTCTGAAGCAACCCAAATTCCATTTCCAGCTGCCCAACCCCAGGGAGTAAATTCCAGGTGGAATGAAGTGGACAAAAGTAGGAAAAGGCCTAGGGACCTCAGTGTTCCCAAGGCCTGTTCCTCTCCTCTTCCTTGCTGCAACCTCAAGCCTTGCCCATCCTCATGGCCAAGTCAGAACCCTTCCTCCAAGCAGCCTCCCAGCCTAACCCAGTTCCTGGCTCACCTGTCAGCCTCTATTGCCCAGTGCCCAGGGCATTGATGGCACCAGCAGGGCTGCGAGCTCTGCCCAGGGCTGGATTGGGGTTCCCTGGGGACAACAACCTCAGGCTGGCCTGATCCAAGCTTGGTCTCTCCTTCCCCACAGAGGAGGCACTGTGGACAACTAGGGCCGATGGGCATGTCCGTCTGCGCATAGACTCCAGCTGCCCACAGCCTCCCTACACTGTGCACCAGATGTTCTACGAGGCCCTGGACAAGTACGGCAGCCTCAGTGCCCTGGGCTTCAAGCGCCAGGGCAAGTGGGAGCGCATCTCCTACTTCCAGTACTACCTGCTCTCTCGCAAAGCCGCCAAGGGCTTCCTGAAGGTGAGGGGCCCCTGGAAGCATGGCCTGTCCCCTCCCTCAGGCCCTGACCTGCTTTATAGCTCTGGCCCATCAGGTGCTCCTCCTCTAACCCCTACCCATCAAGACCCTTTGAAATAATAATAACAACTGTAAAAACCACCACCATTTACTGAGCTAGTCCTATGTGCAAGGCCCTATACTGAGGGTTTATCTGTTATCATACTCAAGGTGGGCTGGAAGCCTCATGTGCTGGGCTGAGGGGCTGGACTTCCTGGGAAGGCCTTGGGTTGGGGCAGCAAGGGCTGTTGAATGACAGATCCCCCAAAGGTTCTTTGACTGGCCAGACCCTGGGAGAGTGGTCCCTGGGACAGACCTGCAGGGTCGCCTGCAGTGTGGATGGAGGGCATGATGGGGTTGGGAGGCCTCTTCCCTGCCCAGTTGACCTGGCTTATCTGTCTTTGGCCTGGAGCTCGGCCTGGAGCGGGCCCACAGTGTGGCCATCCTCGGCTTCAACTCCCCGGAGTGGTTCTTCTCGGCTGTGGGCACAGTATTTGCAGGGTGAGTAGCTGGAGTGCGGTGGGTCTCCAGTAGGTTGGAGGTGGGCAGAGAATGGAGAGAGTGGTGTTATCTCTTATTTACAGACTGGGAATGTGTCTATCTTTGGGGGCCCTTGCAGACTTCCCACCTTCCTTCCACCCCTGCCAGCCCACTCACTCCTCCCAAACAGCCCATGTCATCTCTGGGCCTTCTCTTAGACTGCTTTTGGTCTCCTCTTTGCTTGGGCTGGCTGGGCTAAGATGGTTGAGAGCCCTACCTGTCCTAGCCTGGGAGCTCTCTGGGGTGGGGGCTGCAAGTGAAGTGGGGGTGGGCAGCCTCTCTCCACTTGCCCAGACGCAAATCATCCCTGTCTCCTTCAGTGGCATCGTCACTGGCATCTACACGACCAGCTCCCCTGAGGCCTGCCAGTTCATCGCCCATGACTGCCGTGCCAATATCATCGTGGTTGACACACAGAAGCAGCTAGAAAAGATCCTGAAGGTTTGTGGGGAGAGAAGGCAGAGGGGCAAAGGCTGGGCGCCTTCATGGACCTCCACTCCATCTTCCAAAGGACTTTTCCACTCTTCCATCCAGAGTGTCCCCTCATTCTCATCAGCAACCTCACACCCCTACATAAACATAGAGTAAGGCAGGGTATGGTGTGTGGTTAAGCATTCAGATGTTAACTGAAAGGCTGGCAGTTCAAACCCACCAGTTGCTCCATGGAAGAAAGATATGACAGTCTGCTCCCTTGAGGATTATAGCCTAGGAAACTCTATGGGGCAGTGCTACCTTGTCCCATAGGATCTCTATGAATCAGAGACAACTTCATTGCACATAATAATAAGCCATTTCACAGATCAGTAAATTGAGGTTCAAAAAGCACAGGGACTTCTCCCAGGTCATACACAAAGTTGGTGATCAGGCCTTGGGTGAGGACTCCCAGCCAGTCCACTGCCTCCTATGGCTTTCCATCCAGGGTGGGGTCTCTCTTGAGGGTGAGAGGGGACGTGGGGTCCTCTGTCCATGGAAGGGCTATATGCTATGGGTGGCTCAGGGCTCTGACACCTTGGACATTCAAGTCTGAGTCTAAGTAGGAGTAAGATGAAGATTGTCACGGTGAGGGTTGGGTCAGAGCAAGTGCCACAGAGTCTTCTAGGAGGGGCCCAAAAGTATCTGCTGAGCTAGCTGGGTCTTTTCTGGAGTGTAGGTGATGCCTGCTGAATCATTTAAGGTCTATCCCTGACTGGCTCTGTACCCATATGCCCCACACTGGGGTGTGGTGGCCTGGTGACACCTCTGTGCCTCAGCAGCCCTCAGCAGTCTGCCTGGCTCCCAGGCTCCCTGTGTCGCAGAGAAGGCCTCTATGTGCAGACTGACTTGGCTAGGCTCTTATACTAGGAGTGTCACGTGGGCCTTAGCTTCCCTATCTGTACCTGTGGGTGACAAAAGTAGTCTCTAGCTTTCTAGGACTTAGGCCCTGTATTCCCCAAGAGACCAAAGGCATCATCCCCCATCTTTAGGAGAGAGGCCTCATCAAGCATGAAAGAAAGAAGCTTGGGCCAGTAGCTCCCAAGGCTTTGTCTCAGAATCCCTGGGGCAGGCCCAGGCTGCAGCCCCAACCTCCCAAGGCAGAATCTCTTGGAAGGTTCCTCAAATCAGGGTGGTTATTTATTTATTTTTTTGGTATTCATATTATTTGGATTTTTTTTTTTCTTTTTAATTTTATTGTGATTTGGGCGAAAGTTTACAGAGCAAATTCATCTTCCAGACAGCAATTCACATACACTTTGTCTCATGCCATTGACTGAAATCTCCCACAATGCAATAGCTCTCCTCCCACTTCCTCCCCATAGCCACCTCCTCCCTGTGTCCTTCCTTCCATGCACTCCTGCCCCTCCCCCAGCTATCTCCCTATGCATACACAGCCCTTCTATTCTCCCATGATTGATCCCTCCAAGCAGTGTATCTACCTAATGTAAATGTTCAGCTCAGATGCCTGTCTTTTGTTTGGCTGGAAGCCATAGGAGTGGATTCAATTCCAGGCCTGAAGGGCAGTTAGGGGCCATAGTCTCAGGGGTTCCACCAGGCTCTATCAGACCAGCAAACCTGGTCTCCCCTCAACTCTTTTTTTTTTTTTTAATGATGTTGAGTTTTGCTGCACATTGTTCTCCCACTCTATTCAGGATCTCCTACATAGATCCCCCTCTGAGTGGTTGACAGTGATAGCCGGGCACCATCTAGTTCTTTTGGTCTTAAAGGCTGAGGATCTCGTGGTGTATCAGTAGCTTGGACTAATTGTTTCCATGCATCTTTGGTTTTCTTCATTCTTCTTTGCTCTGGATGAGGAGAGACGCATTGTTGCACCTAGATGGCTGCTTGAAAGCTTTGAAGACCCCAGTCGCTACTTGCCAAAGTAGGATATGGAACAATTTTTTTGTGCAGTATGTTATGGCAATTGAGATGGATGTTCCCTGTGATCATGCTCCTGAGCCCACAGGTCCAACTACTTGTTCCCTCCAAGTAGCTGGTTGTGGCCAAGAAGTGATTACAACCTTGTCCACTGTCAGTTCTACTATATACCCGGAAATTCTTACAGAACATACTTGTAGGAACATTGTCTGCCAACCCAAAATCAGAGTATGTTTTTAAAATAAGCTCCTTCGGGTGAGGCTGTCAGCAGCACAGGCCAAGAGATGCAGATTCAGAGTGAAATAGAGAAGTCCTGGGAAAACCTCAGAGCTAACCATGCTAGAAGCACAAAGGATTCCTGACAGGGTTTACAAAAGCCACTCCCTGCTCTGAACACTCTAAACATATCCTTCCTCATTAGTTGTGGATTCCCTAGTCATGAACCTACCTGTTCAGTAAAACTACTCCCCGGGCTTTCTCTGTCAGACACCATTTATGTGCATGCGCAGAGTGACAGACCAAGCCCTCAAAGTGGACCAAAGCTGTTTTGGTATTCTTTAATTCAGTATTCATGGGGACTTTGTAGGTCTTAACTGCCAGGAATTACAAGACAATCGGCTATATATAATTATGGCTCACTCCTCACAGGCCCTAGAGCACAGGTAGAGGGATTTAGGAAGCCCCCAAGTCACTCATCAGACTTTGGGCCACAGTTAACAGGGCCCAGAGTCTGGTTCAATGCTCTGCTATCACAATCTTAAAATTCTTCTCTCTTTTTTTTTTGTACATTTTGATTTGGGTGAAACTTTACAGAGCAAATTAGTTTTCTTTCTTTTCTTTTTATTATAATTTTTTTAAATTGTGATTTGGGTGAAAATTTACAGAGCAAATTCACAAATTAGTTTTCCATTCAACAATTTATATACATTTTGTTTGGTAACATAGGTTGCAATGCCCTCAATGTAACAGCACTCCTACCTTTCCTCCCTGGGTTCCATTGGCCCTTTTTTCCTGCTCTCTGTGCTTTGTTTTTGGGCAAATGCTGCCCTTTGTGTGGTTGATTATTATGAGTACACTCCTCACTACATTTTAAAATTCTTAACTTTTCAGCAAGGAGTCCCACACTTGTTTTGCACTCAGTTCTACAAATTACGTAATGGGTTCTGCTGTCAAGTTCTAGACTCCTCTGAGGGCTTGTTCTAATCTATTTGTGTACTACTTACTTTTTTTGTCATTTTAGGATTATTTTGAACACCCTTTTTTCACACTTTTGACCTACTTTTGTTTTACTAGTATTAATTATCAAATGGGCTTTATCACTGAGAGGACTGTTTTGAATTCTTGAGGGGTCCTTTTCTTAGTTCTGTTTGAACTCTGTGTTCTCAGGACCTCTGAGTGTCTTCATTCTGTCTGACTTGGATAAATGCTTGAGACTAGGATGGGGGATGTGGGGGCAAATTCTGGGGCCAATGATAAATTGCTCTGTCTGAACTGACACCAGTTCCCTCCTCATCCTCCCTCATCCCTAAACCCTCAGGTTGTTCAGTAAATAAAAAAAACAAACACCAACTCATAGCAACCCCCATTGGGTTTCCAAGACAGTAAATCTTTACAGAAGTAGATTACCCCATCTTCCTTCCATGGAGTGGCTGGTGGGTTTGAACCACCAACCTTCTGGTTAGCAGTCAAATGACTCAGGCACTGTGTCACCAGAGCTCCTCGATAAATAAAAAGGTGGACAAATATTTAGAGAATAATGGTCAGCAGAGACACCCTAGGACTTAGTGGGGCCCTGATTTCTTCATGGATGTTTCCAAAAGGAGCCCTGGTGGTGCAGTGGTTAAGTGCTCAGCTGCCAACCAAAATGTTGGCAGTTCAAACCCACACAGTCCCTATGTAGGAGAAAGATGTGGCAGGCTGTTTCTGTAAATTACAGCCTTGGTAACCCTATGGAACAGTCACATGAGGTCACTGTGGAGTTGGAATAAACTCAGTGGGAACAAAGTTTTCAGGTTTCATAGACCCCAGTGACCTCTGAAGTAAATAGTCATTGGGACAATTCCTGAGCTCTACTCCCCAGCCAGAAGCTCTGGTGGCCTAGTGCCTAAAGCATTTGACTGCTAACCAGAAGGCTGGTGGTTCAAATCCACCAGCCACTCCTCAAAAGGAAGACGGGGCAGTCTACTTCCATAGAGATATTGCCTTGGAAACCCAAGGAGGGGTTGCTATGAGTTGGGATTGACTCGAAGGCAGGGAGTTTGGTTTTTTTGGGTACTCCCTGGCCAGATTCTCCACCCCCACCCCCACCCCATCCACACCCTGCTAGCTTCAGGCTGAGGCCTCCATAGTTTAAGATTTGCTCTTTGCTCGAGAGCCAAGCTGACAGGGACCTTAGCTGCCCCAATGGTTATCCCTCTTGCCCAACTTTGCCAAGGGAATCACACCTTCCTCACATCAGCACTCATATCAGAATCTCAGGGCCAGGGAGCACTTGAGCTTTCAAAGTCCCCTTGTAGATGTTTACCATGCCCCTCAGGGACTCAAACTCCTCTCTGCATAGGTTGTCTGTCCAAATGGTCCCCCAACATATTTTGCAGCTGAAAAAACTGAGGCTCAGAGTTAGGAAATGACCACCCTAGATTATTACTCAAAATTTGTATTATGACAGTTTTCTAACCAACAAAAATAGAGAAGATAATGAACCCCTGTATAGTCATCATCCAGATTCAACAATTACCATCGTTTTGCCATACTTGCTTCATCGATGCCCCTTTTTTTGCTGAAGTATTAGAAGGTAAACCACTGATATCATGTCATCTCATCCCTTAAATATGCATCTCTAAACCAAAAAAAAAAAAAAAACTTACTGCCATTGAGTCGGATCCAACTCATAGCAACCCCCTCCTTGGGTTTCCAAGGCTGTATCACTACCAAAGTAGATTGCCCAACCTTCCTTCTGAGGAGTGGCCGGTGGGTTTAAACCGCCAGCCTTCTGGTTAGCAGTCAGATGTCTTAGGCACTATGCTACCAGAGCTCCTCTAAAAAATATGGAAATTTTCTTAAATGTTTACAATAACTTAAATATTCAA